ATATATTACATTGAATTGTTCTTCCATATCAGGATATTGGTTCAATCATAAATCCTTCAGAGCTTTATGAAAAAAAAGACCCTGTAATTGAACTTTGGACAGTGAGACGGGCAACATATAAATTTAATAAACATACTTAGGTAACTTTTACAATGTAGATACCCGAGAAAGGTAAGAACATCTTTCTTGAATTCCATAGACAATGATTTTTGCCCAGAATCTTGCAGGTTGATAATCTGTTTTACACTGAGTATGTATCAAAATTATGAGTAATTATAGCAACACCAAATTCTTTTAGAGGGACACTTTCCATTGAAGAGTTTATGATTGAAATACTGTGCTGTTTTTCAATATTATAGTCCAGATTGGGTCAGTGGCTGAATGAGAAAGGAAGGTGGCACCCTTACTTCTTAAAGTATAGATGAAATTCATTGTTATAAAGCTCAGGAAAATGATGTATCCCATTTACAATCTGGTCAAATTGACCAATCTTGACATTCAGAATGGAAAAATGCTCCAAGAAGCTCCAAGCTGATCCAATTCCATCATCTAAACACCATTTCCCCTGCTAACAGAAACATGTTAGCCTTATAATGGTCTCGGTGATTAAGCTATAGAGATAATGATAGCACAAGATGCATATTGTATCCATTTCTTAGTCTTTTCTATAAGCTAACAGAAAAGCTAATATTTTCAGCTACATTGCACTGACTCAGAATTATTCAGTGAAGCTTGGAATTTGAAAACTTTAAGCTGGAAATTCTTGGAGAGATTGCTCATATTCCTTTAGACTGGTATGGGACCATTTTTCTCCAGAAGAATAGATACATCTTACCAGCAGCCATAGCCTTAACTGCTGACCACCTATAACAATAATGGCAACTGAGAATTCTCCATGAAATCTTTATAAACTTATTTTTTAAAATAAGTAATAATTGATCAATGCCACTTAGCTTAAGTTGCAAAACAGTATGGCAGTTAAGCCAAAGTTCTATAAGGTACTGCACGTTTAATGGACAAATGGCATACAGGTCTTCAATTTTTAAAAGAAAAGAAACATAGGGAAAGTCTATCAACCCTTCAACTGGGCTGTAATCACAATAGAGAACTCTCTGTAATTAATGTAGTTTATAAAGTTTCTTGGCTTTTGGATTCCAGAACTGTTGTAAGCAAATAGTTAACATGGTTCCACAAACTGAATCCAACTCAATTATTTCTGTAAGCAAGCTATCTCATCTCTGTTAAAACTAATATCTTCCTTTCTTCCAAAGCAATATAAGATGAGAGTCCCTAACAATGACATCTGAATGAATCTAATTCTAATTAATCATGTTAACTGGACAAGAACTGTCATGGAGATATTTTTCAATGAGAGAGAAGACAAAATGATAATGTGTGTTTGAGGAGATGGAAGTGGGGCAAATCATATTAGTGTTATGTCACAAAATACCTATTTGAATCAAATGCCTATTTGAAAAGTTGAGATTAGAACAAAAAATGAACTGTTGATACAATCAAACTGAGGAAATATGTGAAGACTACAGTGTGCCCGTGACAATTGTGCTGATTACTGATATTAAATGAACATGACTAGAAAATAAGTGGTACCTAGTAGTAGGTAGCTGAGTGGAATTGAAATTTAGTTTGAGTTGAGAGAGAAGAGAGAAATAGAAACAATTTCAAAGGACTTTAGGAGTTGGCTATTTTGAAATTAAATAAATATGTAGATAGGTTAATAGAAATAAAAGTAGGTTTCCATTCAAATTACATTGGATTTTTCCTAAGATTATCTCTATTTAACAATATATAATGCTATTTCAGCCAACTACTACAAAAAATAAAGACATTAGGGTTTGAAGAAATATTTTGATTTGATGAAGTTTTGACTCAATCACACCAGAAAGGAGATCCATGAGGTGAAACAAGAATTTCTCCACAAAAAAGATCCACGAGGTGAAACAAGCTGCAAATTAGAAAAGGTACTTCCCAGTGGGAGGTAACAATGCTGCCTTCCAGAGCTTTCCAGATTGGATGAATTTCCTATTGTGGATGCATGTTGATGTTACCTAGTTTGGGTAATGAAATGTCTGCAAGTAAACAACCAAACACAGAGAGCACCAAGGACCCCTAATTTCCTACTGCTTTGTATGAAAAAGGTTGGTGTGTGATATGGACACTCTGATATTGACATCAGCCAAACAATTTAATCCTGTACTAAACTCTTTAATTATCAGAGCTTCCTTGGAGTGGTAATATTAACATTTTCTGTTATATTTTTCAAATACGCCACAAGCCTTAATATAGTTTGTACTAATTAATGTTACATTTCTGGAATGTAATATGCTGTAACTGGAAATTCAATTTAGCCTTCGGTATTTTGAATATGAATTCCAACTGTTCTTACCGGTACTTTTAAAATCTGCATGGCTACAACATGTCTCTTGAGATTAAGTGAATAGATACCAGGCTAATTCAGTTGCTGGCCAAACCTTTACTGTTGTAAAATAAGGGTGTGGCAATACTAAAATTTCATCTTTTGTTGTGCCTTCATTGTGTCTTCCTCTGTACTCTGTATATCTTTGTGATACTGTGTCTTACATTTCCAGCAAGTCACAAGCTTCATATAACTGAATCTTGCCAGGAATGAGAATGTTCTTTCCAAGAGAAGCTAAGCTTGTCAATCTTCTAGGCACCCCAATAATCAGAAGCATACAAAACGACATCTCCCCACAAGGTGTTCTGCCCCAGCTACAGATCCCAAAGAACACAGCACAGACAAACTCTGAACAAAACTTAGTTTACTCAAATAACGCAGTTTTAGCAAATGCCGGCTGTTAATAAGCGTTCTTAACAGCCTGCCAGAATTCCACAGATAAAATAGTCAGAGTCTTACTGGAGTTGGCAGAAAGCCCAGAAGCAAGGTTGCAGAGACATCCCAACGCGATGATTAGCGAACTAAAGTTGTTTCCTGCAGCTTGTTGCAAGCTGCGTCCTTTCTTAAATAGGTTAAGGGAGTGGCCAATTAGCCCCAAGCCTTAGTCTCGAGGAGACCTCCTCCTGAAGAACCACTCCTGCCTTTTGGCAGCTCTGCATGCCCGTGCATTGAGAAGAGGCTCCTCCTCTTCATCCTCTTCACTTAAAGGAGCCTCTGGAGGTTCTGAAGGCCCTGACTGAATCCCTGCCTCTGGCACCACATCTTCTTCAGCCTCCTCGCTGTCCGACTCGAGTGCCGGCTGCACAGCTGCTGGCGCAGCACACCAGCCTCCTTGTCGTCGGGATCAGCAACAATCCGCACAGGCCGCTGGCGGGCCACAACACAAGGTTTCTTCCAAAAAGCAAGAATCAGTGATTCTTCCAAGTCTTGCTTTTTGGGAAAACCCCCAAATTATGCCTGCATGCTTCCCTATCTATGTACTGTAAACCAGTGATGTGGGGGACCTTGTCCGTATGCTATTTTGCTAGACAATTTGGAAGCTATTAAAGTTGTCCTTCTTCACCCATATTGTCTCTGTTCTAAAAGAGGTACAGCAAAAACAGTAAAACACTAGATTATACGGAACTCTTTACTTTTAAATTATTTTATTTCTTCTGTGGCTTGTATTATAGATATGATAGGTAAATAGGAACATAAATAAAATTTGATCAAAAAATTTGAAAAAAAATTGTAAAGGTTCACAGATATTCTGTTAGAAAACTGCAGGAGTATATAAGGCCTTTTTATTAAAGAATTATTAGATGCTTAAAATCTGCCTTGAAACACTTTATAAGCTATATAGATTTTGCTGTAAAGGTCAATGACCTTACTGTGAAACCCAATTAGCAACAAACCCACAATATTTAATAGATTGCAGGGTTTTTGGTACTTTTATTTATATTTGAAATTTGAGTTAGGCTTGTATGAAAATACTGAGGATGCTCTCTACCTCAATATATCTGTAGATGTAATATACTCAGTACAGACATTAAATCTGCTTTAAGTTAGAGGCAGTGAGGCTGGGAGAAGTAGATTTATTCAAATGGATAATGAGCTGAACATCTTCCGTTTTTATGGATGTCCTAGCTAAAGGGTATCCCCAAATGCTTTAGATAAGAGTTCATCAATGTCTTAAGATCTGGATTATGACTTTTATCTTAAAATTGCAACTCTTGATTTACAAGCTGCCTATGTAATCAGCTACATTAAATTTAGGGGTTCCCTAATTAGCTTTCACTCCATATGGCAAATAAACAAACAAACAGAAAGCTTGGAAGTGTAGCTCTTACTGCTTTGTTCAAAGGCTTTACAGTATATTTCCTATGGCTGAGTACCAATGCTTTGTTTGTTCCATTTAGTAAATTTGCGAGGTGTTTTTTTAAAAACTGTTGGCACCTAACCTTTTAACAGTTTAATTATTTGATATATCAGTACTTTGGTATCAATTTGAATAATACAGGACTGATTAAAAAGTGTATTTGTTAGCAGGTGGGCTTGCATAAAATAAGCATTGTAAATATTTCAATTAAAAAAAAAATAAAACAATGGGTTGATAAGGTTCAGATCAAAAGAAGAAATCGTTTCATTGCTAGCATGCTTCAATCAACTTTCTCTGCCTGATTATACAGAAACTGCAGCCCTACAGCAGTTATCCAGATGCTGTGGTTTAACTGCCAACACATATGACCTATCAGCTCCTAAGCTGCACTAGGAAGTCAATTTCCAACCATACTGAACTTAAGAAAAGCCATGAATGAATATCATAACTTTTTTCTATCTTAAGAGAAAACAGCAATGTTAGATTTTATATGACATGCTACAATCAAATGTTAAGAAACTTAAGAAATTACACATTCTAAGGCTTCCAAACAGAACATTAATTTCACAACTCAAAATGATTCTTTTCTCTTATTAATAAGAAAAAAAAAACATAGCATTTCATTTCTCTCTCGTGCTGCTCTGTCTCAGAGAAAGTACTACCATTCATTGCAATACCGCCATTTTCCAAACATGTAGTAAGTTTTACCTTTCTTGCATAGGTGGAAGTTGTATCCAGCTGTTAAACCTAGGATCATATCGGCTGACGAAATTTGTACTGTGTTTGCCTGTAAAGAGATTAATTTCACATTTAGCTCTTTGCTTTTTGAAGGACTGACCCAAAGCCTTTTGTTACTTGAAGACTAAAAGGAAAATTTTTCTCCATTAAAATACAGATGATTAGGTTGACCAAAAAACCCCTCTCATTCCAGTATTAGGATGTATAGTAGGACTAGCAATGCTAACCCAATCCAGAAGAATATGAAGGGGCACACACATGTAACTTATTGAACCAGTCATATTTGCTTCTCAGATAGTGTAGGAATATGTTGCACAGAACTAATAAGTAGCATTCTTCAAAACATCTGAGTAGATGAACTTAAGGGGTAAACATAAGACACAGTTGTGTACTCCCACTTTTCATTACTTTCCATGCCCCTGAGCATTTGCCATTTGCCTCATTCTGTTTTAATAGTAGGGTGGCTGCTGATGCTGTATGATTGCAAGTCACAGTTTTATAGCATCAGTCTTTTTACTTGTGAACAACAATTACGGATGTTTTTATTTAGACCGATAAAAAATTAACAACATTTCCCTGCAGCTTTATCTAGTCAAATTTATTTAGTTAAATATGAAAAAGCATTAGTTATTACTTCACCCTGTATTTCATAAGGACTTATATATGCCAGTCATGAAAAAAACTATGCCTCCAAGATATTAAACTATATTGAATGCACGTTATATTCTTATAAACATCAAAAGAAAGACTTGAGCAAGGAGAGTGCATTACAATTTCTGTTTAATAACTGAGCCTTCAATGCAGAAATCTTTAAAAAAAAAATTATTCCTTGCATGCAATTTAAAATTACAGCATAACTACATCACAGTTAAATCATGTATTTCTCTATCAAAACCATGATGCTTACAAAGTGCTTTGTTCATGGAATTAAATTCAAAATTCAGTGGCAATGAAATAGAGATTTTGGCATTCAAAACTAATCATGTAAATAATTTGATTTATATTTTCTAGTTATGTCATGTGATTCAAATTATTTCATACTTCTAAAGAGCACTAAGGAGTCCCTTATTTATATGAATTTCTCCTATTAACACAAGTTACCCAGAAGTACTATCTGTCATGTCAATTAGTACCTCCCAGCATAATTCCATTTTTCCTAGAATATCAATTCTTTTTTCCCTTCACATATACTTTCCCTTCCAAATCTCCCATTTATTGTTATTAATCTTTCATCTTCCAGTTATACCTTCTCCATTTCACCCTTTCCAGCTCTTCTTTGTCTGTCTTCTGATATTCAGAAATTGAATAAGAAATTTTTTTAGACAAAACAAAGAATGAGCTAAAGGTTTTGTTCTTTGCTGATAAATGGCAAGCAAAGCTGTGGAGCACGTACATTTATTGTACCACATATATCACTCCTAAAATGCATCTCTGTCAGGAAGATGAGATGACTCCTTGGGTTTTTTTGTTGTTGTTGTTGAAGTAAGAGTAGTTATATTTGTTTACAAATTATTAAAAAAATCAGGCTTTCTGTCCAGGTTTTAAAAATGGAAGCAAAGAAAAGGATAATTCCTTGCTTTCAGGTTTTTCAGCGTTATGCTACGGTATCGTGTCCCTTCCTGTGGGTCACCAGAATATTCTGTGTAGCTTTCCTGTAGCTTTCATCAGGAAACATGAACGTCACGGTTAAGAGCTAGGACAAACAGTTTTTTTATCTTCCAAATCCATGACATTAGTTCTGGAATTTGAGAAGGTAGATCAATAAAGTAAATTTCTCCACTATGATTGCATCTTCTTCTATGTAAGGTGCTGCAAATTTTGGTATGTTCTCCTCTCCTGTTTAACATCTACATAAAGCTGCCAGAAAGGTGTTTTAACAGTTTGGGATGAATCTGCTGCTGATACCCAGCATTTTTATCTCCACCCCAGACCATTTGAATGATACAACATAAGTCTTATCCTAGTGCCTGAAGGCTGTGTGGGTCTGGAAGGGGCACAACAGGTTTCAACTCAACCCACGTAAGATTGTGTGGCTTTGGGGACTTCCTGGTTCTGGGAACCTTCCATTTTCATTTCTGGATGCAGCGTCACTGTCTCAGGAAGAAGCAATGTGGAATTTGGGGTCCTCCCAGACCTGTAGCTCCTGCTCAAAGAACCAGTGGCAGCCATGGAAAGGAGGGCCTTTGTATGTCTTCATGTTATACATCATTTGTGCCCATTCAGAGATCAGGATGTCATGATCATTTGTGCCCCTTGTGACCTCCCATTTGGATGACTGTAATGTACTGTGCATGGGGCTGCCCTTGAAGAGCATTGATAAACTTCAGTTGATGCAAAATACAGCAACAGGTAATTTACTGGTACTAGCTATTTGGATCATGTAACACCACCACTATCAGTTTGCTTCCAGATGCAATTCAACATTCTGGTAATTACCTTTAAAAATCCTATATGGCTTGGGTTACTTATGGAACCATTTCATGCTGACTGTTTCTACCCATCCTGTCAAATCTAGCAAGTGAGGCATACGATACGTTCCATCAACCAAGGAGTGTTGGCTGAGCCTCTGGGGCGAAAAAAAGGCTTTTCTGCTGTGAGGCCCACTCCCTGGAACATCATTCATCCTGTAATTAGGTTGGCCCCCAATCTGCTGGCTTTTTGGAAGGCTTTGAAGGATTGATTCTGCAGCTGAGCCTGGGGCCCTGTATATGAGATGGAGCACATTTCTTGGTCATGATTCTATGATTCTTTGAGTATTGTGTATTTTATTTCTTGATTGAGTTTAATATTTGTATATATTTTGGTTCTAATTTTATGAGCCTCCTAGAGTTATGTACTTGAGATGAGTGGCTACATACTGTACTTTTCTGAGTATAAGATGCACTCCCCCCCCCACAAAAGAGGGTGGAAATGTTGGCCCGTCTTATACACCGAATACAGCCATTTTTGGCCTCCTGAAGCCCCACCCCGCGGGTCCCATTTTAAAGGACACACAGAGGCTTTGGGAAGCCTGCAGAGTGCTCCTGGGGGCCAGGGAGGGCAAAAACTTTTTTTCTTGCTTACCTCTTCGAAATCTTGGTGCATCTTATACACTAGTGCTTCTTATAGTCCAAAAAATATGGTAAATAAATAAATAAATAAACTAGCAAAAACCAAAACCAACAATTTCAATTTGAGTGAAATAGCTTGGAAATTATCCTTCTGAATTTAGTGTAGCAGTTGGGGAGACCTACCATCCAACTAGTCTAATGTAGATGGTTGCCTGTTTTTTTGGTTAAAGAAATTCAATAACATCACCCTTCAGGTAAGCTCTATAGCATTTACTTCTATAAGTAAATTATCTGTAATCTTTTTATAGAATAGCTTGTTAAGAACAGACTGCAAGAGTTATTTTTTCCAGAACACTGACTTAAATAAATAATTTTTAAAACTCTATTGAAATAATGCTATTAGAGAAGATTGCTTAGCTTAGTTTGTAAAGAAATGAACAGATGTAATGCTTTGATACAGTTTGGTTTAGCACAGATGCTGCAATGGGCTTTTCAAATAAAATATATGCAGTATACGTAATTTCAGCTGGATCTTCTGGCATTTTGAAGTGAAAATGTGTACCTGCAAGCTGTTTTATACTTTCTCAGTCATAATTATCTATGTTACACAGACCGCTACAGCTGCAACTCTGCCTTTATGTATGAGCCTTTCAATGATGTCTTGACAATATTCTAAATTTTGCAAGGCATATTGTTCTTCTGCTTTGTTCAGAAGCCTGTTAAATGATTTCATTTCTCTCCACAGAAAATTTATAAAGTAATCTCGTTAAAAAGCCCTTACCATAATCATTATGTAAATCGCTGATAAGACTAGAGATACAGGAATACCAGAAAAATCAGAAGGCATTTGAGAATGTGTATGCATACCCATTTTACATGATCATATTAGATTGGTACTAGAAAAAAAAGTGAATAATGGAAACACAAAAAATATAAAAACGGTACCAAAAAACGTTGATACAACTTTAAACAATTCTCACCAAATATCTTAATTAAGAAATAACTATTCAAACATTTTAGAGATTATGAGTGAATACTAGAAATGCTGAAATCCCAAATCAGTGATGTAACTGAAATTAGAGGGGCAACTCATGAAATTACTTTCCACTTTCTATTCTCTCATCATAATGTAGAAGTATTCTGCTAAAGAGGAAGGGATTGATTGTTAAATTAAAAAAGTGATTTGGAATAAGATTTCTTTGGAAATATAGAAGCTTGTTGCTTAAATCTCTTGTTAGACATATATGTGTATGGGTTAGTTTACATAGCTATTTTAAGAGATTATCCTTTAATACATCACTTTTGAGCTTCATATTAGAATATATATTTGGTTCTGAATGTGTAAAATTTATCATATATTTCTGCTGTAACTGCAACTGTATCTATAAAAATGCATGTGTTATGGACCCATTCTGAGGGTCCTGAGTAGATTTTGCCTGAGTAGATTTTGAAGAATACACCTAAAATGTTTTAATAGGCCTCAAAAACTTGTGTTCTAATTGGATAATTAGAACTCTGTGTTCTAATTTGTTCTAATACAACTGTGTAATGTTGGACAATGATTCAAAGTTGAGACTTTATTGCTAGAAATGAATTTTAAATCACAGCCTAAATCATTGGTATATAATCTGAAGCCCAAGATAATTGCTCAAGGTTGCTTGTAGATTCCTAATCTTTCCTTCAGTGTTTTCTGAGGGTTTTTTTTAGCAAAGAAGCTAACATTAAACAATCTGCTGTTCCGATCAGATCAGATGAGATTAGAGTGGATGATGAGATGGGGCAAATCAATTTATAAAAAAGAAGGAAAATTACCATGTTGCTATTTCATGTATAAGTAGCAGTTCATGGATTTTCTATCCATTAGTTATTTGTGTAGAGAATGTTATTTATGTATTTTTTCATAGTTCAACTAATTATTGCATACATATTTATTTTATTGAATTTGTATACCGCCCTACTCCCGAAGGACTTAGGGCGGTGAACAGCCATGGAATAAAACATATAAATACAAAATTTAAAATAGATTAAAACATACCATTAGGATTCCACTGATCTTCTCCTCCCAGAACGAACAAAAAATTTTCTACTTCCACAACACAGTGATGGGCACTATTGTATGGCATAACTGTGAATAAAGCAGATATATTTTATTAAGGTGCATTTCAACAGTAGGTTTAATAGTATGGTTATTCTGAGGATTTCAGGGAAGTTCAAATTTAGAATTCAATCTGGGTTGGTCACCAGGACCAGAGGTTTTGTCTTCTGAGCTTTTGGACTTGTGCTGGAGCCCATTCTCCAGGAACTTCTTTCTAGCAGAGTGTGTGCTATTAGAGAAAAGTTTCCTGAAGATGGACTCCAGCATGAGTCCGAAAGTTCAGAAGAAACAACAACTGTCCCGGTAACCGACTCAGATTGGATCCTGCAACATTATCCTGGGAGACATATATTTGCTTTCATTCGTTCAAATTTAGACTCTCATTTTTTTTAGTCCCAGTAAATGCGCTCAATGATCTAAAACCTGCTGTGAATCAATCCTTATAACCTGTTTAGATGGTCAGTGGCATTGTCATATCTGCTTACTGTTCTGATAAGAACATTTTGTTCTGTATCTGCAACTGAAAGCAACTTCCTTAGCGATACAGAGCCTTGGAAAATTCCAGCATAATTGATATTATAAAACAAAAGAGCTTAGAGAAGTTTGTAACAGTTTTTGGCACTCTGTGATTTGAATGAGCTGTCACAGTAGCTTCCCAAAGCATGCGGAAGGTCTCATTAGCATGCACAGTCAGTCTCAATAGCATTATCAACTAGATTTTTGAGGAAGTCTTAGCATCCACTCCGGACAAAGTTTAGCTTGCTAACAACAAATTACAGTAAACACTGTATATAAACTGTACCCTACAAAGTAGAAATATTTCATAAAATGCAATAGTTAGACAGTGCTCTGTAATCATATAATAAATACTATTTTTTAAAAAAAAAATAGATTTACAAAATGTTTTTAAAAAATACCCTCAGCCAAAATACAATCTGTAGGCAACATTTCCACATCAAAATTTCAAACTATTCAATAGCTTTTTCTCACACAGCAATAAGCATGCTGCATTTCCATATAGTTTTCAGTTTTTAAATTAAGGTCCTGCTGATTTAATGCCTCCTCCAAATGTATATGCTTAATTTCCTGTACAATGTCATTAGCAGCACAATCAAACATTTTCCATCCACTGAATCAGGAATCCCTTTGTTGAAAGAGCAACATTCCTTTAAAAACTGTTATGGGGAAGTTGTAACTATGAAGGGGAGAAAAGTGAGAAAGTCCTTTTTCTTATATGTTTTTCCTAAGGTTTCCGAGGTACTAGGGAAAAAAATGCAGCATTAATGCCATAAAATGAATTGCTTTGTGGTATGTGACAGTATTAAACATCATATGTTGAAATGCATACTCACACAGCTAAATTGTACCACATGCAGCAGTTCTGGCTGGGTGTCACCAGTAGGAAAAATAATGTCCTTGTTCTGCTCATCATATGGGCACCTTAAATCTAGGTGAGGACAAATGGGGAGGTGATGTGCATGTATAGGCAGGGAACTTATTGCTTGACACGGATCAATAGAGCACTTAGGAAACCAGTGCAGTGGGAAATCAATATGACTCAGGGCCAGCTCTTACTTTGTGCTGTTTTGCCAGTGCCAAAAAAAGAGGCAGCCTATCTCACACTTGAATTATTTTGGGTGATATATCTCTCATTTCATTTGTTTTATTATCTTTTATTTTTTTCAATGCACTTGAATGTAGCATATGCAAATAACAATAAGAAATATGTGCAGCTTCCTTGTGTAGGACACATTTTCTTAAAGATCAAGTAGTCCCATTTAAGCTTCTTACTGATTTTTTTTTCTTAAGCAATGATGAATAAGCAAGGTGCATATTTAGTTTCCAGTAAAGGTCAAATATCATTTTCATAGACTGTGCTCATGCAGCTGTCTAAGCAAAAACAACTGATAGGCAGATAAGTTTAGTAAAAATGCATTAATTAACATTATATATTGGTGGTATATCTTACAAGCAACAAATACTATTAATATGCTATTTTATTTTAATTTGTGGCAAATGACAAGCCAATTGCATCTTCTTAGGAATTGATTTTTTTGAAATATTTATTCAGGTGAAACTCACTGAACTTCAGTTGTGTTTTTGGTTGATGTTATACTGCAGTGCCCTTCAACAGCATATCCATGAACCTTATTAAAATGATGTGATGCTATACTGAAAAACCATGTATCTGAAATGGTTGGGCCTATGAATGAGCTTTAAATTTCAAACAATGCCAATTATCTGTTAATGCAATCGATTATACTACCCTTAAATTCAGTGTTCTTAGGTAGGAGACAAACTTATAGTACGTACATCACACTGTGTTATATTTTAGTGGTTGAAGTATTTTCATGCTATTGAGCATGTCTGTTGATATGCAGTGAAATGCAAACGTAAGGCAAACAATTTATCAGAGCAGAGACTGAAAAGCCTACAAGAGTCTCAGTATTATGATTTTGTGTCATTTCAAACTCTAAAGTAATAAGCAAAGAAAGGAAAGTCCAAGAATGTTAATTAAAAAAAAGAAGTCTGAAAATGTAATTTATGAAGATCATAGTACAATTCTCTACATTACAGTTCAAATACAGGTAGAACACTGAATAGAATTGTAATATTTAAGCAGAACGATGGAAAAGAGGATGAAAGTCTATATGACTAGGTGTAAAATATATGAACATGCATGCCTAAAATAGCCATTTGAACTATGCAACACATATGGCTGAATTTTGGAGGACGTAACTTAATTTTTTTTGTACATTCCTCTTGCCCCACAATACCTTTCAACTAATCTTACAACAATTCACTAAGAATTCATGGGTGTAAATAATACAATGTACAGGCCAGTCTGCAGTCTAGTGATGCAAACCATCTCTTTCATTAATTGTATACTGTCTTCTGCTTTGCTGATTTATTTTAATATGAGTCTCAGGCTCACTCATCTTTGCATTTCATTTCAGCTCAGGTGAGTACCTATTTTCCCCTCCAAAAAGGGATTTGAAAAGAAGTTTGAACGCCACGCTCAAACACAGCCCAGTGTGAGTTTTTAGCGTGTCAGTCAGTGAGTTAGAGGGAAAGGGTAAAGAGAAGCTAATCAGGATGAAATGAGATTAAAGGCTGTCTAATTTTACAGCAACTGTGATCCATCAGCCACTGTGAAAGTGACAGTGGAAATGAATGATGGAGACAGACAGGTGGGGCTGTACATTTCACTGATTTATCCTCAAATGCACTGGGCCTTATTTTATTGAGTGAACATGACCGCATTTATCATGACTGTCATCTAAACCCACTTCTCTCCATTTAAAAAGGTCACTTTACTAGAAGGAAGTAGGATAGAGCCACTTTCAAAAGTGATTCAAAAATCTAAGAACATGAGTTTATAAAGCTTTGCAAAGGAGCTCTCAGCTTTATTAAACAAAAAGTGAAGTTAAAGAATAAAGACCAATAAATAAGAGGAAAATTTTTGGCACATGAAAAAATACATTTAAAAACAATCATTTTTTAATCCCAAGGTTCCAAAATAAAGGTGGAGTATAGGACTAAATAGTACTTATTTAGAATTATATCTTATTCTGCGGGATGAGGAGCTTCTTCCAAGTGAAGACAAACTTGATTTCTTCCAATAATTGTTTGAGAGGACCCGCTACTCCTTCTACTATGTATACTGATTGGGCTATAGGAATATGTTTCTGTCTATCAACTTTAACCAATTTGTGAAAAAAAAAGCAAAAGTATCTAGCCAAAAATCAGGAAAAAGCAAAAGGGAAAAATATTTGCCTACTGCATCGTATTTGAGGAACTGCTACTTCCAACCTTAGATTCACTTTTGGTGTATTCCAACCAATAAAAAAGAAAACACAACTTGAAATAACACCTGCTCTGTCACATATGAAATATTATCTAAATCCTAAATTTACAAAAGAACTGGAGAAAAATTAACATTAAGGTAGTTGCTAGCTAATTTAAGAATACACATCTTTTTTTAAAATATCATGTGAGCTTTTTTGCAAGAAATATAACAAAAGTGAGAAATGCTAAAGACATTAACCATTTTATTTTTGGAAGATGTGTGATTGGTACTTTTAAAGGTAAAATACATATACACTGGCTGTATCTCCAAGCCATGGCTTTGCCAAGCTTAGCATGACACAGTACTGTACCCAGGGTGGATAAAAATCAATGATTTTTTTAAAAAAAAATCAAAAAAATCAGATTTTTTTTATTTAAATTGGATTTTTTTTATTTAAATCGGATTTTTTTGATTTTTATCAAATTTATTTTAATAAAAAACTTTTGGGATAAAACTCTATCGTAAGATAGTTTTCTATTTAAGATACATAAATAATTTAGTTTATTCAGCATGAAATGGAGCTTAGTTATGTAGCATGAGGCTGTATATTCTGCAACACTGGGACTATCGGTGAGTCAACAGTGGGTCAAAGGAGTAGCAGAGATGACAGTTGCGCTTTAAAAATTATGATTTAAATCGAATTGATTTAAATCAAGCCTTTTTACTAGTGATTTAAATCATGATTTAAATTGTGATTTAAATCAACTCAATTTAAATCAAATCCACCCTGACTGTACCTTTGCCTATCTTGAAGTTGGAGTTGGAGTTTTAAGAAATATATTAATGGCTTGGCTCTCTGGCTTTACACAGGTGGACAAAGATTAAGTCCCTTGTTCATACCTTATGATAGGTTTGACTAACCATATCACAAATTCTCATTGGCTATTTCAACATTACAGCTTACTGTGACATATGAACTGGAGATATTGATGAAAAATGATTTTTTAAAAAGCCCTTCTCTACTCAGTGGAAGGACACTGTTTCTACAAAGAATGGTTTTCCTTATCATCTTTCTCTGGTAAGATCTCCCTCTTTATCTGCCCTTGAAACAGGATTTTTTTCTTTTAGAACATGGAGGAAAAAATTGGGTTTACTCACCAAAATGGGTAGAGATTATTGCTGAATTAAAAGATATACTAGCATGTATTATCAACTTAATACTGGCACCAATGGCTTCTGC